GTGTGTGTGTGTGTGTGTGTGTGTGTGTGTGTGTGTGTGTGTGTGTGCGCGTGCGTGTGTGTGAGGTGTACGCGCGGGTAAATGTATACGCGTGAGGTCATTTGACGATTTTAAGCACATTATCAGTCTCATCATAGTTGAATTGCAAAATATATCTACTCAATTTTGTCTTGCATCCGTATTTGGAGAGAGCGAGAGATAAAGTGAAGATATATTATTTATTTTATGATATAAGAAGGGCCTAAAAATAGAAAAAACTCTGAGCAGTACTTGTTGAAACTAATTCTAGAGGATATATATTTTTGCGCCGCGAAGCCAGCAGAGATAGAGCGAAGGATGTCTGAGAGTGTTGTTTCAAAAAAGTAAAACAAAATAAAGAGCTGCCTGGTTGTGAGAACTTTGTACGATTTGTAGAGATCAGTAGTCAGGTACCTATTGTGATAATGATGATAATGTCATGGAGATATTGCCCGTTCCCTTTTATGCCTAGATCATTCCAATCTAGTGTTTCTTAACTTAAATCTTCGAAGACAGATTCGGAGTCACAAGGTGCCAGGTCGAGACAGACCGCGGGATGGCTCATAAGGTCAACGTTGTTCACCTTCAAAATTCATTTATCTGTCTGGCCGTGTGAGAACTGGCATTATCGTGGTGCAAGATGATACGGCGTGTACGGTTATTTTTACGGAGATTGTCAATAACTTCCGGCAAACAAATGGTCGTGTACTAATCACTATTCACGGTACAACGATTCTCCAAAGCAACAGCAGTCACGTGTCCAGTTTTATTAAAAAAAGAAGTAATCATCCGCATTATTGGCACTTTACACGCGCGCCACTTTGGTTGGTTTCGGCTCATCTCGAAAGACCCATACGCTCGATTGCTGCTTTATCTTGAAATCGTAATTATAAATCCTGTTACTATGTCCCACACCAAATTTGACGCCCCTTTGTTGAATCTGGTAAGCATTGCATTGCATCAAGTGACGCGATCCGTTTTTTGAACCTCAGTCAAATTGTGTGGGATCCACCGAGAGCACAGCTTTTTCACACCCAAATGTTTGTGTAGTATTGATTGTATTTAATTCATGCCTATGCCTAAAGATGCCCCAATCTCATGATATGTCATATGCCTGCCTGTTTTGATCATAAGGCATCGATGTTTTTGTTGGTCACAGCAGTGGACGGGCGACCATCACGAAATTCGTCACTGAGATTCACACGATCGCGTTTGATTTCTGCAAACCAGCTATAAATAGTCGTCTTGCATGGTGTTTCATCGCCAAAAGCAGTTTGAAGCCGAGTGAAGCTCTGCTGAGCTATTAAGTTACACTTAAAGTCGTAGAAAATCATACTACGAAAATTTTCACGTGTTAAATCCATGGTGAAGTAGACAACCAATTTCTAAAATGACGCCACAATGTAAAAACAAAGACTGCCAAAGAGTTCCATTTTCAAATGTTGTAATTACTTTTTAAATATTGTTTATGTAAGTGGCCATTTCCGGAAACTTATAGTGCGCCCTATGTATTTTTATGTAATACAAGCAGTAATTCGCCACACAGGATCTTAAATGACACTGGCGTAATCCGTTCCGGACTAAAATGAGAAGTTAATTTACAGACGAAGGTAGCGTCCGGACAGGCTACAATAATTGGACACCATTGGTGTGAAAAATAAAATAAGTATGATAATTAATTAAGTAGCAGAGCTAAAATCTTAATGGCACCTTTATATAACAATATAGACGACATAAAAAAATATTTGTGGTTATGTTTAAAGTATACAAAAATTTGGTGTTTGAGAATGGCCGAAATATATTTAAATACTTACGCACTTGCTTGCTTGCTTGCATACTGACTATAATAAGAATTTTAAATTTTATAATCGTATGTCTTGTTGAAATGATGATTTATCCCATAAAGAGATGCTTATTATTACAGGATTTAACAGTACCGGGCTAAGGAAAGACTGTGCAACTGACAATATTGCTCTTCTGGTCATATCAAAGCCATATTCCGCATCAGAAAGGGAGCCATTAACAGAATACGTGATAAATAGAGTTCGTTACGGAGGTTATACACCACAAAATAATATGGACAAAAAAGAATTAGAATGTCATTTTTATGGATGGGGTAGTCGTCGCAATGTAAGTAAAAATTTAACGGAATAGTTGTATTACTAAGTAAGTATGTACTTTGGAGTTCTCAGTTTTATCTAGATTGTTTCTATATATATTCTAAGCTGATATAAGTAATACTACAAAGTATTAATTTATTCAAAATCATCAAATTATTTTCTTTTATGATTTAGGCACAACACTATGGCTGTAAGAAAATCACTATCATTCTGCAGGTGAAACTCAATAACAATAAAGCCATAAACTCAATAAGTGGTTTTATCTGCAGAAAGATGGTGATTTTCTTACAACAGGTACATAATTTGGAGATTTTTTGTGGATTTGTGGAATGTCACTGTCACTTACCTTTAAGCAAACGGTATTAAGAAACAGCTTGAAACGACCGACTTGTTATCTGCCGATATATTCACAAAGAACAGACAAATTCACCGCAGTTCCTGGACAAAATATAATGTACATGTACCTGTACAATATTACCATATTAATATGGCAATTGACAAATGCGAATCTACAGCGATTTTCCACAAAGACTTTCGATGCACTTGGTAATGATTTACAGCTGCAAAACGTATGGTTTTTATGATACCTAGTGACAGGACGAACAAGTCGTGCGCCTGGTGGAAAGCGACACGCCTGTTCATAACAGTTGCAGTGCTCACCAGCACCCTTACCCTTCAAAACCGGAACGCAGTAATTCTCACATTACTACTTGGCTATGGTAGTGAAAAGTTTAGAACTAAAAAATATTTTTTGATTTTTCTTTCTTACAGGCAATTATTATAATAATATATTTATAATCTTACAGGCCTATTATATTTATGATCCAATTACGTGATCCGTGTGGAATAAAACGACGTGTGGTAGATTATAAGCGACAAAAATAAATGTTACTTATTACGTATAAGTAGTAAGTGAAATCGATATCGCGATCACAGTTTATCAGATAAGATACACTTGAAAGTCATTGGTTTTGTTACTACAAACTGATCGCGCGATCAGAATATTCTAACCATATGAATGTCCAAATTCCTATGTTTCACAATTGACTCGTATTCAACTCCAATTTAACCTGAAATACAGTATCTGTGTGCAACGCTCGGTAATGCTACCTATACAAACGCACTACAGAAGCTGCGTCTTTTTGTTTCCAACATAGTCTTGAAACAGATACCCATATTTTCATTGATGAGTAATACTACTACCACACTACCACATTACGTCGAATAAGGTGTTTGTTTTCCAAAACGTGTGAGAACTGAGAACCATATTAGGCATGAAAAATGTCAGTCCTGCAGAAACTTTTTCGAGAAACGTATTTGCAATATATTTAGTTTATGTTTATCAAAACTTGAACACCTTCGAGCGGAGCACTGGTTCAAGGCGAGCCGAACCTTTGGAAAACATAAACTTGTAAGGAGAAACACGTGAGTAAACAGTCCCCGATGCTACGGACATCTCCGCAGACCCGAAAGGTGTTGTAAACGACGAAATGTTTCATACTATTATAGACTAAAACTGCTTCTTGTGTTGTCTGGTGGGTTGGCTTTCATTTAATTTTTGTGAAATATATTTTTCGCTTTCGCGCCATTTTTTAAAATGTAGCATCAGTGTGTCCTGTTTTGTCAAAGTGGGACATTTTCAAGTTTTTTAGGCACAGCGGGACATGACAAACTGAAAATCAAGACAGTCCCGCATAAAGGGGTCTCCCTTTGTATGTCTGTACGGCCACGTTATTGATGAATTATAGATCATGATCACTATCAGGTTCACAAGCAATTTTTGATGTGTGATTTCAGGGATACCTAATCCCGTTGCTGATCTCTTTGCGGCGAGTAGATGTGACAGTTATAGATTCCTCACAATGCTTGCCAATGTTTAATTGGCAGGACAAGTTTCTTTGCATGAGTCACTTCCCCTGCAGGGTGCGTAGTTCGTTCTATATACTATCGTTTTTGTTATAAGGTACTTGAGGCAAACAAGGGCCACCTTAATCATAACTGATTATTTTGAACAATTATAAAATTTGAATAAAAAACAGTACTTTAGACGAGTATTTACTTTATTACAGTCCCGAAAAGTGTAATTTTATTGCTTTCTTCTACAATTTGTCTTCAATATTGAGTCTTTTTTAAAACCGTCTATGTAGCCCTTATTAAACCTAGGTGGCTTAATAAAGGCTACTATTATCATCAAAAATTTTACAGATAAATTACCGTAAACACAATTTTTCTACTTCCGTCTAGCTTCAATTATCATTTGGCTTTCAATCACCCTTCCAACCAGTCGTAAAAATAATTATGCGAATCAATGTAAAATATAACACATATACCAGAACTAGGAGAATCCTGTATGTCAGGTTAAAAGTACTAATTATATAGGGTTATATTATAAAATTATAAAGAAAAGAATAATTAAACAATAAAACGCACATCATGTACGCTTAAATTAGACCACCTTTTATTTTGAGATAGTTAATAAATTCTCTGTATCATCATAGAACCTATTTTGAAGGATTTCTTGGAGGATTCTCTTAACCTTTATGTCACAACAATTATATATGGCCAATTTGGCGTTTAATTTAATGTACAAAAATGGCCCATGAAACTCAAAAAAACATCTGGAATTAAACACGTTTTGACATTGACCTAAGGTCAATGCGTTTTGACGATAATTTTGGGGCAGACAATATCTTTCCGTCTTTTGTAAGTGTTTTCAGTACTATATTGGGAGTACAACGTGTTATTTGAGGACTGTGGATTTAATAAATAATTACCTTTCAGTTAGTACCTTACACGACTTATACAGAAGGTCAGTGGGGTAGAGGAAAAGGCGGAAGTTGGAAACCTTTAGAACCGCTCGCTGGGCTCTCTCAATGATGAGTAATGAAGTTTTAGCAATACCATCCCATGATGTAATGTAATAATTGATTGATGTAAGGCATAATAAACTTGCTAGATTATTTTAAAATAAGCAAAAGCGCGTAGTTTTTTAAACACAAACAAAACTTACGGATTCTTCCGCTTAGTGTTTCGATATGGTGGTTCCAAGAGAGGTTATCAGCAGTTCTAACACCTAAATACTTTCCTTTTTTAGTAATAGTAATGTCTGGACAATTCAAATAAAATGGGTGTTAATTACACTCAACATTTTTTATAAAAATGACTTGGTTCCTACAAAATAAACGTATTTTTAAACAAAGTATTTTATAATTCTTTGATAGCAAGAAAAGAAAAAAAAATTTGTAATAAATCGTGGCCCATTATATTTATGAAATCTAATATTGTACTAATAAGATCCAGTTCAAAGTGTTTATAGGAAAGAGTCATGTGTATTTTGCTTCTTAATAATTACACAACAATTGGATTACTTACTTCTGGAGTATGATACTTGCACAAGTAATTAATATTGGGACCATATTATGTCATAAACCAAAATCTGACCTGTCGTTCGGGAGATATGTAAAAAATACAAACATTGCTGATCAAAAACATAACCCTCCTTTTAGTTTTGCTGTAATTGGGTCAATATTTTACAATAATGTGTACTTATTTTAGAAATACATGCGAATGCAAATGTCTAATAAACGCCGGCCTGTTTTACCCACTTCGTATGTGGCCCTTATTAGATAGGTTACCTTTACAAGTTTGTTTATAAAATTTATGAATAATAAAACGATTGAATTTTCCTTGGTTAGTCAACACATTTCTATAAATTTAAGTTTAAATTACTAAACCCTATAAAAAGTAGTCTGTTTTACACAAAAATTCACTGTTTTGTAGACAAAATTTTACTGCGCAGTGGCACTTCGTAGTTACTTACTGACAAGATGGCGTATCGCGTAACGACGCAACCACGCATAGTAGGTTTCCTATTGGCCCTTTATTATGTTGCGCGTAAGTGGAATCTACTAAGAACATTGAAAGGGTGTTTTAGTAATACTGGCCCTTGATATACGGCGGCTCTTGTTACCCGCGGGTACCTTAATTTGAATTACCACATTATCTTTGTTGACTAACGCGTCTAAGATAAAGTGAGTTGTAAAGTCAAATTTGTAAGGAAAATATTGATTTATACTAGTCTTAATCAATATTTTATGATGTAACTTGCCTTTTCGGTTGATTATGACGTTGTTATGTAGTTTGAATTGAAGCTGTACTTGATGATTTTTTGCAGATGGATAAATACGGCGCTCTGTGTCCGGTAAGGTTTACTTATCATTTTATATTCTAAAACAAATACTTAAACAATATTGTTTGTCAGTAGCTACGACACAAAGAGGAAATTGGGGTGCGTGCAAATCTGGCGAACACGATGAATGTGCACTGCGCGCACCGCACCCGTACTGCAGGTGCACTCCACGCGTGCTGCATGAATGCAGTTAAATACATATTAATATATGTGGCGCGAAAGCGATGCGCGAACAGATCGCAATAGGTAATGCACGTGTGCAGTGCAGCTCGCGAACCTTTCGCAAACCGGCGCATATGCAGAGCATTCACCAGATCAGTACGCACTCTTAGATAACTCTAGTCCGTTTCGCAGAATTTTCAGTTTATATAAATTTTCATCTAATGTGTAACGAATGTGGGCTAAAAAGTCCGTGCTGTCAGTGCCACAATATAGCTAACTTGAAACAAAAACAATAACAACTAATGTTCTTATACGTTAGGTTGGGATGTGTTACCTCATTCCATCGAGCTTATGCTCAGTCAGACAGTAATCGCTCGACATGGTCCCTTCAAATTTTCACTTGTTTCTTCGGTCTTTATAAAATTATTTCAATGAACACAACTTTGTTCAACGAACACACCATTAAACAACACTTAAAGCAAGTATTTTACTTAAAGTAGTATTTATATTGTATTTTATAAGTAAGGACAGGAGTTTTTATGAAAGGGGAATTCTACAAGTACCCAAAAAAGATTGTATAGATCAACATGGCCAAAACTGATTAAAGTTTGATATTTATTTTATGTTTAAGTTTGATGTTTATTTATTTCTATTTTTATATCGCACATACTTTTCGGTCGACCCAATATTTATCCAACCTACAAGACTGATAGTGAAAACGTCTAGTTTTCTATGACTATCGTATGACGAATGAATTATGACCACAGGATGATCTAGGCTCACCACTGGTTTGTCACGGTTTTCTTCGCGGCATGATGATATCAAGGCTGATTGACCGGCCTTGTGGAATTGGCTTCATTGACCTAGCCAAGTATACTAAGTTCCTAACTTGCGGAGTGGACGACGCTCGCGACGTGCTCGTCCAGGATGACTATATGGAGTTTGGTTCAACAACAATCAAGTTTCCAAAAACGCTTTCTATCGCTACAGCAGCACAGAATACGACGACTGAAATGAATACACGTCCACTGATTATTACTGGTGGAGGAAGTGTAGAGGTCACTGATAGAGGTGCACAAACTAGAGAGGGCAGAATGTCCGTAACGCACTCCGAACCTGAGCCAGTTCCCGACCAGAGCGTGGTGACAGACAATTCTAAGTAAGAATTTTCTCTTAAAGCTTTCAAAAACTAATAAATTATGGAGAAAGTGGAAAGTAAATTAATGGAAATTTCAGATCAAAATTTTTGGTCTATTTCTCCATATTACCAAAGTAAAGATTAATTCATCATCATCATATCAGCCGGAAGACGTCCACTGCTGAACATAGACCTCGCCCAAAGATTGCCAGACTAGCCGGTCGGTTAAAGATTAATTAGTTACCTTCAATTTCGTTTCAGGAGACGCAGACGCCACCAGCATAAATATGAAAATAGGGCACATGTTTATAATAATAAAAGACTATACAATGATAAGAAATAAAATTGTATTATAATAATAATATTTGTAGTTTTAGTTATGTTGAAGTAATAAAAGTATGTCACTGCACAAAAAATTGTAATCATCTTTTTGATATTTTGAGCAGATGACCTTTGATAGGGAATAGGAGCATTTCTATTTTGAGTGGGCCGACGTCTTCAGCTTTAAGTTTGTAGGATCTCACCACACTGGATATTACGCTCTTCATGATTAGCATGCCGAAGTTTCGCCCTGAAATGTGAATTATGGTCAGGTAAAAAAATACGAAGTCTACTACTTATTTTACGTTAAAAATATGATTACATTTTCTAAATATAGCATGACAGCGTATATGTATACATATATGCATATAATATATTTCGAAAACTTGTGATAATGTAACCATATGCCCTTAATGTAAAATGAGCATTACAGAACTGAAATGACAATATTTGCAACCATATCACCTTAAAATTGTTAAATCTGAAAGCAGAACTACAGCGAGATGGCGCTTACTCTATTAATTTTATAATAATACTTAGCGGTTGAAGAAAATATTGTGTTTCATACAACAGCACTGATTGACGCCTAGATTAGAACTTGCCTATGCAGTTTCTGGATCCATAGCTGAAGGGTAAGAATGCGGCCGGATGGCGATTGATAGAGCGCTCTGGTAGGAACCGGTCGGGATCAAAGTCGTTGGCATTTTCACCCCAAATCTTCGTCCAGCGGTGTGTAACAAAAGCGCCTATGACTGCCCCCACACCCGCCGGTAGGGTGGTACCGCATGCAGCTTTCATAAAATGATAGCAAAATAAATCAATGTTGAAATTGTATCTTTTATATATGACTTTCCATATATAAACTTAGTATACTTTTTAAATTCCGAATTAGTAATTTTTTCTAAAGTCTATTCCAATCCATTTTCAACAAAAAGTAAACAAAACTGTTTGGTTAAAATTCTAAAGAAATCACTCTATAAATCGAATAAGTAACACTAACACGTATATTTTGAAGATTTCGACTTGATATCTCATCACCTTTTCCAACAATTAGATATGGGTTTTTTACCCGATAAATAACCGTTTTTACTGAGTATTTAACCTAAAACATAGATAATTATTTTTTTGTGTTTTTTATAATACAATTCATTCGAATTAATTTTTTATTAAATAATTATATACAGGACGATTCGGAACATCAAAAAAGAAAGAGATCGCATTATACAGTTCATATAGCGTTCTTGCTTTCCTATTTTTAGTAAGGGATAGACAATATTGGGAAATCATTCGTTCTTTCGGTCACTTTAGCAATAATACATTACTTGGTTGATAGGTTTGTCATGGTACGAATACGAGTAATATTAATAATATAAGCTTACTATAAGCTTACATTGAAATAAGATTGTTTTTTTGGAAGGTTATGGTAGGCTCCCAGAATGGCGAGGCAAAGGAATTAAAGAACGATTCCAAATTTAAATACAAGCGGCCTACCATAACCTTTCCAAAAACAATATTATTTCAATGGAAGCTTAAAGTAAGCTTATTATAATAGTATTCATATTGGTTCCATGAGAGAAAAGTTTAGGGAGACTGGTATAATGGTATAATTTACTCCAACATTTTGTATGCCTGTAAAAATATACGTAACTTCGTTAAAAAAGAAGATATCCATAATATTAACCTTACAACTAAGTCCAAACTAATGGTACCACGTTTCCGATTAACTAAGCTAAACGATTCTTTTATGGGGAACTGTATACGTTTTTACAATAAGATTCCGGAGCATATAGTAAGTTTACCATTTCCTAAGTTTAAAACTTACATTAAAAGTATTTATATAAAAAGTCATATTACAAAATTGTACACTACGTGTTAGATAAAGATGTATGGAAAGACAACGTGAGTTTGAACTTGTTGATTCACACAAATGTGATTCAAAATGTATTCTATAGCATTTAAGGTTATTTGAAAAGAGCAATCCCTAAAGCTTCTTGCTTGTTCTTCTCAGGGAGGTCAGCGTAGTGAACGAGCAGTAGCTTAAAAAATGACATTTTCAAGTGTAAATATTTTACCCATGGAATCATTGACTTAATGGAATAAATGATTATTTGACTTTGTGCTATCAACCAAGTAATGTATTATTGCTAAAGTGATTGAAAGAACGAATGATTTCCCAATATTGTGTATTCCTTACTAAAAAATAGGAAAGAAATAACGCTATATGATTTATATTATAATGTCATCTCTTTCTTTTTTGATGTTCCGAATGATCTTATCTTAGTATAATGTATAAGTAGGTACTTAATGCTATTTACAATCAGAGAATTTTAACTATTAAAAAAAGAAAAGTATGTAATAGCAAAATCTACTAAAATTATGTTGTGTTCAATTAGTTTTCCGCGTTTTCATGAAGAAAAATAAATAATACAAACTGAGTCTTGATTGTCACGTTGTGAATTCGGAATTATAGTCTAGTGTCAACTGTTCGTGTCGACAAGGAACATATAGATATCGCTGTCATAATTTTACGAAATAAACATCGCGTATTTGTATTTTACGAGAAATTATTTCCTATGTACATACTATTAAATAAAAAATAAACAAAATGTTGAAGAGATGTATGTATATGTATGTCATAGATTCCTCATAGATGGCGCTACGATTAAAAAGTCGTTGAAAAACCAAATGCAAAGACACGACAACAAGCACATAGAAAGATTCGTGAGGTCCATTGGTTCGTACCGTGGCTTAATTGTTAAAGCGTCTGGCACGGTATGATAGAAGACGTCGGTTCGAAGTCGGATTATTTTCTGAGTGTTCTATCTTTGTATTAATAATTATAACAAACTAGTGGAGTAATTTCACAAAAAATAATTGAACATCATTTCAATAAAAATTTAAAAAGAGATATGCTTTTAGGAAATGAAACTATTTTTCCGGATTTAAAGCGCGTATATTTGTTTTTTCAAACAAACCGACGTTTCGGGCCCTTTCACGGTTGACTGAGGTGGTACAGTCTTCAACCAGTTATGTCTAATATTGATGCAAACCACCCTATTTTTTCACTATAGTTACAATAGTTATTGATCAAATACCTTATTTTAATTTTACAAAGAAAACATTGCAATTTACGCTACTTTAAGTTTTGCAAATTAGTTTATTGAATTAATTTTTATTTAAGATCAATTTATTATTAATTAGTAATACAAATTAGAATAAACTAAAATATATTAATTAGTACTGCAGTCTTATGTCTGTTTGGGATTTTTCATTAGAGGAAATACTTATGTAAATAATCTCAGTACAGAGTACTAAAAAAAACCGACCTCAAAAGTAAGAGGAATTACGTCTATTTGCTAAGTTTTACTGAAATATCCCCTAGTTCGCCACTATACAGGACTTGACACTGGAGATAATAGAAATCGGTTCTCACTACTCAAAGTATATTGAGAGAAAAACGCCTAGAATTGGGAAATAGCAAAATCAACCATTAAAGTAATTACTCCTAAATTAAAGTTAGTGCTATTATAAAAATGAATCTTCATACGTGAATAGCCACCCTTCGATGTGGATGCTTTTCTTCAAAATGAAATGGGACCACTATGGAAGTACCCCCTTTCCAACAACAAAAGAATCATGAAAATCGGTTCACAAATACCGGAGTTATCGCGTAACATACATACAAAAAAAAGAACATACAGACGAATTGAGAACCTCTTCCTTTTTTGAAGTCGGTTAATAAATAAGTTCGACTTAACTTTTAATCATTACAAATCAATATTAAGACAATAAAACTGAAAATAATATTGTTTCCATTGCATTCGTATAATTATTTTAGGATTGCTAAATTTGACATAAGAACAATATTACTTTAATGTTAAAGTTGCGTTATAGTACGAACGGAGTGAATGAATAATCACAAAGCAGGGGCCCTACCTTGAAATCGGTTACCGGAAAGTGTGCAAGCCCAGATTCATCCTCTCGTTCGTCCCGTAGTTAGATGTCGCTGTCATAACGAGAAATGATTTCCTATGTATGTGCTATTAAATAAAAAATAAACAAAATATTGAAGAGATTATGTAAATAAGTAAGTTCAACTTAATTTTTAATAATTATAAATCAATAATTAGACAATGAATTCGTTTCCATTGCCTCCGTATAACTATTTTAACACAAACAAACACACACACAGACACACACACACACACACACACAGACATACACACATACACACACATAGACACACACACAGACACACACATAGACACACACACAGACACACACATAGACACACACACACACAGACACACACACATACACACACACAGACACACACATAGACACACACACAGACACACACACAGACACACACACACACACACACACACACACACACACACACACACACACACACACACACACACACACACACACACACACACACACACACACACACAAACACACACACACGCACACACGCACACACACGCACACACACACACACACACACACACACACACACACACACACACATTCTATAATCTGTAAATCATTCAATATTTTGTATCTTTTATTATAAAAAATTTGCATGCTATCACTAATATCTTCGGTGCGCAAACTCAATGGAACATAATTACTGTACCATAAGGAAGTATTAGAAGTATTTAAATACTTAAAAGGGAGTCTCGAACCACTATAACCACCCAAAACACTAAAAAAATAAAACGAAAAAACAATTTTGTAAATTCCTATTATTAACCGACTTCAAAAAAGGAGGAGGTTCTCAATTCGACTGTATGTTCTTTTTTTTCTTTGTATGTATGTTACGCGATAACTCCGGTATTTGTGAACCGATTTTCATGATTCTTTTTTGTTGGAAAGGGGGTACTTCCATAGTAGTCCCATTTCATTTTGAAGAAAATCATCCACCTCGAAGGGTGGCTATTCACGCATGAAGATTCATTTTAACAAATAGCGCCTAACTGTAATTTAGGAGAAATTACGTTAATAATATAAGTGATAATAAGTGATTTTGCTATTTCTCCAATTCAAGGCGTTTTTAAAAACTTAGCAAATAGACGTAATTCCACGTACTTTTGAGGTCCGTTTTTTTAGTACTCTGTACTGAGATTATTTATTTAATTGCGGTAAACAAATTTGATCCAAAGGTCATTGACTTGCACGGCATTTGCAAACGTTTTGAACAATGACCTTAAATGCGCAGAAAGAATAGCATTTTAGATCTATTTGGTAGCGACGGCGGGAGTGTCGTATCGTGCGCGCGATTGGTAGATCAGTCGACCTTGCTTCCCGTACTGCGTCACGCTGACATCGCGCATACATTCTATTCTTCGAAATGCTACGTGGTTTGGGACGCAAACAAGAGTTAGTTGTGCAAAAAAGAACCGCTACCAGGTTTCCCAGAACCTGCATGGTAATCCATTAAGTACAACTGCGTGTCTATTCTTATGGCATTATGTGAAACGTTTATTTTACGCGGAGGATACGGGTGTCCAAGTTTCTGCTTTCAAAGTTGTCGAGTCTAATGTTGAAACGAAACTCACGTGCGAATGCCTGCATAGCTGGTGGTAGCTCCGGTACGGAGCCAGTCACCAGCTGTGGTAGCTCCACAGCGGTATTACTTCTAGCAATACTTTCATGTAATCTAAAGTTGGTAAGTACCAAATCTAATGCGAGCATGTTATGGAATAAAACTACACATTCAATGAAGTTTGACAAATCCTAGGTCCTTACAAAAGAAGTCCGTTATAACCCAGAATGCTGCGAGGCCATTGATATTAAAAAACATCCCAATTTCAACAGGGAAGACGATTTCTCCGTACCACCAGTTTGGGGTCCAGTATTTCCTCTGATGTAAATCCCAAACAGACAACACTGCAGTACTAATTAATATGTGTTAATTTATTCTAATTTCTGTTATTAATTGCTATAGTAAACGTATAGGTGGCATAAGACCTTTGCTGTCAATGGAACAACTTGTTAACAAAATACATACGTAAATAAATGTCCTTGTCTATTTTCCGTGCTATGATAGGCACTACAGTGTAGAGTCGCATGCTCTCCTTGATAACTCTCTCCAAATAGTTCATTTTTTGGAGATCTTCTTTTTCGGCACCTTTTGTTGATTCTTCGAATATAGAGATCTGCCTGGAGAAAAAAAAATGTGTTTGTACTAAAATTTATTATTAATTGTACGGTGTGCACTACCGAAGTTGGGCAAGAGGGAGATATGAGATTTATTACTTAAACTATTCGACGATATCTGATAATTAAGAAAGCAACTGCAACGGCGCCGGTATACTTTCGATGTATAATTCTTAAAAGTGACGATAAGTCACTATTCAATCGTGTGACTATTGGATTTTTCATCACACAGTAATGTATTCAAACTATTTGTCCAAATGTCGATGATGCACTTACTCTTGTAGCACCCTGTCCTGTACATCCTGATGTATTCCAAGAAGTACCAGCGTATAAGAGATGACAAGAGCAGTTGTATCATTTCCAGCTATCGTGATAGAGTCAATGTGCTCACGCAGTTGTTCGTCTGTGAAATCGATCTCTCGCCCGAATAGGAGGTCAAGGATTGCCCGCAATTTACCATCTACAAGTACATGTTTAATTAAATTTAGTGATGCAGGTTTAGATTAAACAAATAGAGTTAATTAAATATACACTCTCAGGCACTGAAACAAATTTTAAATTTAGATGAGTTCGCATACCTATCGCATTGATAATTTAATATTCTACGTGGTAAGATCGTACATTTTATGTCTTTTAGGTAAGCATTTGTACTGCCACAGCACAAACAAAGTGTACACAAACATACACACTACAAGTGTTGGTTTAAATTAACTTTAGTGTATGGAATAAAATGTCAGGACATTGTAAAAATAAATAGCATAATTATATTTACTCTTGCTAAATGAGTTGATAAATGAATGGCAGGAAGAAATATTATTAGTGAATCTGGAAGGACACTAAAATTACGATGGCGACAAACCAAAATATCTTTCTGTCCACAATTACAGGGCGTCTAGAGCTGGCGAGTTTTTATTTATTTAAAATGGAGTTAAACTTGTCATGTGTTGATATATATTTATAGGTACCTTTGATCGGTAAATAAACGGAATCAGAATATTCTGAGCAATTGTTAATATTTGCTTTTATTGAAGTCTATTGGTCTTACGTGACAATATTGCGCTGTTTTAAATAAATGACGTCATGTAAGGGAGTTATGACACCTATCGCTGCCGAATCAGCTTGAGGCGATCGTGTTTTAGCATACTTGCGATTCGCCGTCGACGCCGCCGTTTGGGGCGTCCATTCACAATCGATCTATAAATTTCTGCCGGCAATCTACTCACATTCATACTTTCTACCGTACCAAATCATCGAAGCATCCCCTCTCTATCTTCTTTTCATACTATAATGCTCTCATACTACACTGTTTAATGGGACACAAAATTTCAATACACAGTCATTTATTTAGAAATACTTTTGAAAAACCGCAGTATAGTGTTTCATAGTTTGCTTTGAAGAATATTCATGACAAAAGATGATAGATCCGAAAAATGTGTTTTCATAATTAATTGACATGCGGTAATTTCAAAATCCTGTTGTAATATAAATTCAACAAAGGCTACATTAAAAATCGAAATGAAAAAAAAAGACTACAGTGTATTGGCCATTTATATGGAACCTATTTTGTTTATACAGAGACGAAAATTCTAAAAGTAGTGACTTATTAGTTTTAAAAATCGCCGAGAGATACTTGCATTTTATTTATATGTGTATATTTATTTTTTGTCATTGCTTGCCAATATATATTAAACGCTATTTCGTTTGCAATGATGTGTAGTTCAAAGCGTTTAGTGCTCGTAAAACTGAACACAAGTTATTTTACTACACGTGGTTTACATACATAATAACTTTGGTCCATACGTATATATGTGTATATATATATATATATATATATAATCTTACATCGAGTAAATCAGGCAAATGGGCCTTATATCACTTTTAAATTATCAACTCTCGTTTGCACTGAAATCATAAATAAAAAAGCTGAAATAGTACAGCGCCAATAACTGACCTGTGTTTACGTTTCCGTATATTCCAAAAACATTCTGTATTTCTTGTAATAAAGATATATCTCTAACTACGGGGGGCTGTTCAATTCGGTGGTGTGGGAAAAACAGCAAAACATCTAATTACAAAACAAACCGAATCACATTTCATCGGTAATTAAATATGTAATTTTTCAATTATTGTTCATTATAGCAAAGCTCAAGTTAAACTGGTCGATTTGAAGTGACACGACTGACGACACCCGACCATTGTTTCGAATTCGAGCTATTTCTAACTCTCCTACTTTATTTAGGCATAAAAGCAAATTCGACTAATTTCGTTTGTAGAATATTTAAACTTGGAAAGGTGTCATTTTGCAGATGTGGCCTTATTACATCGAAGGTGCTAATTATATACATATATATATTTTAATTGACAGGAAAATTGGGGTTGGGTATGTTGTGTCGTTTGGCTGCAGATCGATCTTTATAGAGTACCATGTTATTATATTAGTTCGATATTTCAACATAATAGCGTCATATTTATCATGAACCAGTAGAATTGTATTTTATAGTTCTACTTATGCTACAATAAGTGAGAATAATATAGAAAACAAAAACAGTGGGTAAAATGTACGAGAGAGTGAAATTAAACTTACCGTTGGTTTTTTGTGAATAAGTGACGGAATTCCTTTTTTTCTTCAATTCATATTCAACGCGTCTTTTTCTCACCACCTGAATTAGAAGTACTTGTTCAATCATCTCCACAAGCATGTGAATATTAAATGTAATCCATAGGTGCCTACAATAATGCTCAATTTCTTGAAACAACACAAAACGCGTGAATATGTAAGCAACAAACGATTGACATCGTATTTTTTATCGATCTACTCGTGTGATCAGAGTAATCATGTTTTACTACCATGATATATATTTATTTTATGTGAAATTACTCTACTACTTTGTTATAAGTTATAACTATTAATACAAAGATCAAACAAAAAAATGGCCCTAGTTTGGCACATAGACGCAGGTACGAGTCCTAACAGATCGAAGGAATTTTTGTTTGTGTTCGATCTTTGTATTAAATAATCAAAAAGTTATTCACTAGATGTTACTAACGGCGACGCGACGAATGCTGAAAGGCAGAACAAAGATCTATAACGAAAACACATACAGAATTTCATCGGCTCGGTAACTAGACCGGTAGCTCAGTTGGTAAAGAGCAATGCTACGGTACAGCATGGACATAGGTACAAGTTCCACCGGATGGACGAAAAATTTTTCTGTGTGTTCGATCTTTGTTTTCATAATCAAATTAGAGGAGTTATTTCACAAAAAATCTCATTAAAAAGAAATTTATTGATTTACCAAACCTGATGATAGACACATTTAATAAGCTGGTAGTGTGCAATTTAGAAAGTCTGCTATTGATAAGGCTAATATCTTTTTGTTTAATTAATAGTTTGGTCACATAGCACAAATAAAACTTTATAACAACAACCTCCTAATTTTCCTTTTTTTTAAAATTTGATATAGGATATTAAAAAGGTAGAAGTCCAAATATTTTTATGTATTCAAAGGAAAAATAAAATAATAAGAATAAAAAGCTAGGTCGGTTTTTAGGAGTTACTTACCTCATCAGTGAATTTATGCGTTAGCTCTATATTGTCCTTCTGCTGCTTTGCATAGGCTGTCAGGTTAAAGAGGCAATCAGGCTGTAGCCACACCTTGAAGAGACGCATGTTAAGAATCTCCATAACTGTGTGTCGCGCGCGCAGATATGGCGTGTCAGGAGAGTGTTGGACGTTCATGCGCTCGCCCATTGCAGTTTCTATATACAATATATGTACATTATTACGGATACAAACTATTCATATTTTTGGAAACGATAAATAAAACCTTTCGTATAATAAGGCTACATCTGCAAAATGATAATTTTTCAAGGAGAGGAGGAGAGGTTTAAAGAATCAGCGAACGAAAATAGTCGACAACTTATTTATAAATGCTTAAATTGGAAAGTTCTAAAATTTCATATACTTTCTTATATATAACACCGGGATAAATGCCGCAGTGGGATAGGTGCCTCATTTTCAAAAAACCTGACTTCCCCAAATCGCAACAAAGAATATTTAGTTTAAATAATGAGCATAGACACCACTCATTAAAGGTCCTGCAGGGCTTCGTGTGGAATAGATGCCTTTGGCTTGGGCATGAGTTTATCTCCGCGATGAACACGACAAACGGTTCAAAATTTCAGACGCAAGTATTTACTATCGCATAACTTTGTAAGTTATAATAAATTCCGTTATATTTTTATTTTTAACTGCCTCCGTGGCCGAACGGTTACCATGCCGGACTGCAACGCAGGGGTCTCAGGTTCGATTCCCGGACCGGGAGAAATATTTGTATGACCTACAATTATTTCTCTCGTGACTTTGGGTGTAATTTGTGGTTGTCTATGTGTGTGTCCATGGCACCCGCGACACAGGGTTTCCCTAGTGCGGGGCTATGTTGAGTGTGTGCGTTATTTTTATTATAACTATACACTGGTTCATTAACTGCGCACCTAGGTGTTAATAATCGCTCTTTTGTACATAGCTTACTTAAATAATAAAAGGGCATCTATCCATTTTGAATAGGATAGTCGCTTCGATTTTTTGCGGTATAGGTTAGGGGCAAAGGACAAGACATGAAAGTTAGGAAAAGAAAATAAAAAATACATTATTTTAGTGAAAAAGACAAGTAAATGATAATAGTTTAAAAGTAAGTAAAAGATAAATTATTCACAATTCAAACAGCGAACATGTTTGTATTGTTTATGTATATAATATTGAGTCTTTTATGTAATACCATTATTAGTTCATTAGAAATCTTCCCAACAAATTATGGTCAGTGAGGATGATACCATACGAGTAGTAGTGTGATTTTCTTCGTGCAAGTAACTAAGGGTTAAAAAGTTATGCACCTCATCCTATCATATTATGAAAGGTAGTGTAACTTTTTTGTCGTTGATGACGCAACGTCACTCCAAAGTTGTTTTCGAAAATTAATCTTTTTTGACTTCCAGCATACATAAACGTGCTTTTCAGTAAGAAAACTAATACCACCATTATCTATGTATATGAATATATATGAATGAATACGTCTGTGTGTGCGTCTGTATTTTTTAAACTTCCGTGAGTTGTTGTACTTACACGCGCAAAAGTTTCTGAATTATTAGAACCCACTGCCCAGGGTCGGGCATTCTTTAAGGAAATAGTTAAGGCTATATAGTCCACCACACAGATCCAATGCGGCTTGGTGATTTCACACGTTTTCAGCCGGGTATAATTACTTATACCCTGGTTGTATATATGTATATGTTGCGTCGTTATTATGCAATATATAAGTAGAAGCAGCATAGCTCCTTGTGAAAGAGTTCGTCCAGGAAAGTACTGCCACCTTACCTATTTCTGTTAGCATTACTGTGTTCCAGTTTTGATGGGTCGGGGTGCTGGTGGAGTTACAGGCACATAGGACTTGTCAACTTATGCCTCAGATTGACGGCCGCACTAGCAGTGCCCCTCAGATATTTACAATTTAAAGCTCTTAGCACTGCAACTATCATGGACAGGCGTGTCGCTTACCACCAGGTGCACGACTTGTTCGTCTCTTAATTTGATATCATAAAAAAAACTAGCTTTGTTTCGTCCAATTTATGATATTTTCACGTACATGTTTTGTTTTGGTCCACTTTATGGCAATGAGAAATTGAGAATTGAACAGAACTTCTATACTTTAGGCATTAACATTTTGGAGCTAGTGCTACGACAAATTATCAACTTATTACTTACCAAACACGATGTCTAAGGTGCAAGCAGTGATATATTTGAGTACATCAAACTCTCGTCCATCGGCTCTTTCCTTGAGCCGCTTGACGAGCACATGCGCCTGTTCTGCAATAACTCCTAGATACTCCTCCACTATTTTATTGTGAAACACTGGGAGGAGAACTTTACGATGAGTTTTCCATAAGTTCACTGCAAAGTAAGTGCATAATATATTCATAGTAAATTGGAATATTGTACAAAAGCTCATCCAACTAGCCACTTCACACTTTAGACCGTTCTTATAGTAGATGACATAGAGTTCAATTCAAATATTAGAATTGCCACTCTTGGCTCACCGGTTTGGTGTGACAGCAATGAAAATTTAAGAAATGAATATGGCATAGTAATAGCAATTCTTCTATTTGTGCGTAACGGAAATTTTTGACTACAGTGGAGAGTTCCTCTTCCTGTCATCTTATGCTTTAAGTAGCGCCATTGTCGGTAGAGAAACGTTTCATGATGAGCAAGAATTTGGTCGATTTCCCCTCATGCTAAGAATGGGCACAATTGCACTATAATGAAGCTCTCGATAACTTTTTCTCCCTTTAAACATTCACCGTTTATTTTCGATTTAAGTATATTTAAGTAGTTTATATTCACTTTATTTACAAAACACACACAGACAGCCGTTTGATATCATGAAAAAAACTGCTGGAAAATTTCATTTTAATGAGAATCGCAAACATGTTCTAACAAAGTCAATAATAGCTTCATGGCATTTCACGTGTCAATAACAGGCATCTAATCAAATTATTTGTTATCATAACAATTTGTCAATATTTGTTAACCCCTAACACAAAAAATGTTTGAATGTTTGAAGAATTTGTCTGTGTGTTTGTATTTCTGTCTGTGGCATTGTAGCTTCCAGATGGACGGACTGATGTCAATACGGTTGTTTTTTTATTTGAAGGCTGGCTTAATCGGATGGTTCTTAGCAATGTTTTGTAGTGTATGACCAGTATCTTTAGGTTAGTAAGTTAGATAATAAACGTTCGTTATAAGACATAGACGTATTAGCTACGACATCGCAGTTTGATAAACGTCTTTTCACCTGTTTAAATTATCAGCTCTTCTACCAGTTCAAGTGAATATTTATTTTACTTCCACTTGTCAGTACCTATTGTCTTGAAATTTAGTATACTATGGAAGTCCGATGACATTACAATAATACGGTAACACTAATCTAATGCTGCAAACTACCCAACTCAGTTACAGTTAAATTATCGTACACTGTTCTTTAATTGTTTTTAATTTTAATTGATTGGACATGGTCGGAATGCTTGCCGTTTGCATCGCGCCTTTAGATGGTCCGTTTCCATGAGGAAAATAGGGATATTTTCCTCATATTACGATTTATCAAAAACTTTTTGACATGAAATATTTTGCAAAGATGTATGTCTCTATCCACCTAGTTTTTATGATTTTTTTTCTCATGCATTATTATTCTTGGATTTTTTGTCGCTATACTTGGACAATCACATATTTTTGCACCGAACAGATCAATTTTTCACCTGATTCCGTGTTTTTTCTATCGCGTTGCGCATGCTTTCACGCCCGCCCGCTTTTCGCGGATACTAGGCGTCACCGACGGCAACCGCGAGAATTGTTGCGAATGCGCAGGTATTCCCGAGAATTCTCCAGTAGACGCGCGTCCTTATTAGTTATTTTGCTCGTATCTAGTTTGTACGTTGCCCAAATTGCCATAAAGTTATTATGCTTTGTACAATACCGTTATAAAAATTCGCTTCCAATCCTTTCCGCCGTAATGTGAATCGCCTTGAAATTTGTTATGATATGTAAATGTAATGACACTTCAGCAATAGGTTAGCCTTGCTCAACAAGTTGCAAGCACAACAGGCTGCTGACCTCCTTAACTTCCAACTACTTCTATGAGAACTTTCGTGTTTGGGTTCACAGAATTGACCTCGATGACGAGTAGTTGGCTTATAAATGCTTTATTGACGTTTTTAGTGTTTTTGTATTAGGATTTTTTAAATATTAATATAAATTTTATTAGTAACGGCAATCTTACTCCCATGTGACATGAAATATATGTAATAACTAATAACACTCGATTTCCTTAAGCATTGCCTGCACAATGCACAATAAATAAAACTATTGGGACCAGTCTATCGTGACCATTGGACCTGTAAAAAGACTGAAACGTTGGTTTGTGAAGAAATAAACACGATCCTGAATCCGAAATAAAAATAGTTTCACTTCTAATATAATAATACTATGTATTAAGCTGTGTGCAGTTTTGTATAGTAACTAAGGTAATGTAATGATCATGTTTGCAATTGAAAGAAAAAGAATTTTATCTGAACGGTCTTCAAAAATTACCCACAAATATAGCACTTATTATATGTACATAGCCACAAGTTCAGCAGTTAATAATATAGCAGCAACTTTACTTGTCTAAAAATATCTAAATATTTAGATTTTATAACTCCAATCAAGGTGAATACAAATTACTTCTTATTATAATACTATGATTTATTTATTTGTTGTATTTAACAACGAATTAAGAATAATTTTGAACAGATATGAAAAATATTGATTTCGAATTATATTCTTGTGCTATATGTACGTACTTACCTATTTTATACATTCGTTCTCCCATTTTGTTTTAGTGCATTATTGCTTTAGGGAAACGCGGTTGAAGTAGCGACCTATGAGACTTTTTTAAAAATAAGTGCGCATTGGACCTCCATCTCACCTGATAGAAAGCGACGATGAGGTCGAAAATGTAGCATGTACACTTAATTTTTTTAATATCAAGTGACGGGACGAACAGGTCGTGCACCTGATGATAAGGTACACGCCTGTCCATAACAGTTGCATTGCCACTCAGAGCTTTAAATTGCAAAGATTTGAGGGGCACTGCCGCTGCGCCTGTCACCATGAGACATAAGTTGACAATCCCATGTGCCTGTAATTTCACCAGCACTCTTACCCTTCAAAACCGTAACACAGTAATGCTTACATTACTGCTTGGCGACAGAAATAGATAAGGTGGCAGTAGTTCCCTGAACGAACTCTTTCATAAGGAGCTCTACTGCTACTAAAAGTGCCTATTCACTCTCGCCTTAAAAAGCCCAACTTACAACGTTAGGGGAACAAGTCTGCAGGTAGAGGATTCCACCATTTTGCCGTGTGCCATATAAATGTGGAAGCGATACGCTTCGTTTATATCTTTGGAATATCCACAACATAGGCGTGGAACCCCAGCCTACGGGATGGGGTAGGCGGAATAAAATGAGTGATATATCCTGTAGAACAGCCGTAAAGTTGCTTGCTTATGCGGGCAACTTTACGGGGCGGTATTCAAGGTTCTGCACCTTTGCCTCTACTAAATCCGAGTCACCTATAAGCCTCTTGGTACACTTTTCTAGTAAAGCAGTGTGGTCAGTTGGTATTTAACAGAACCATCCCATAGGTGACAGTAGCACTTAATCCACGACCCGACTTGTGCTTGGTATATTTGAAGCAACTGTCCCGGTGTGCAGTACGCCTTACCTTGAAAAAGCCAAAGCTGGATGCTGGAAGCTGGAAGCCAAAAAAGGATGCCAAGCTTCATAGCTGCGTTTTAAGCCATGGATTCAATGTAACTGCCGAGTTCAAATTGAGCGACAGGCCCATTCCAAGGCCGAGGTGGTCGGTTATCAAAGGTCAAAGGGATTCCGTTTAGTGGAGAATAGACATGCCTGCGCTTTGGCAGCGTTAAATTTGACAAGATTGGCATCGCCCCAATCGGAGACTACCTTAAGTGTCAAATTAAAACGACTAACCACTGACCCATGCATTGGTCTGTATCTGTCTACAATTTGTGCTGTCATCAGCATACGCGAAGTTATTAACAAGGAAGGAATTAACGTAATCGATGATATGCAGCAGAAAGAGAGTTGCGGATAGTATGGAATCCTGAGTCCCACAATCACTCCATAGGTGTGAGGCGTACACAAAAAGATCCCCTGTAGATCGCCCTCGTCGGTATCCGTACTGGTCACTGAGAAAATCGTTGTTTTCAAGGTACTACAGGAGACAGTTATTAGGAGGATTAAGTACACGTTCCATAGTCTTATAATATAAAAGTAACGGGACTTACTCGCGTAGTATTTTAGTCGGAAGCGGTCCGACTAGTTTCAACCATAATCGATGGTCTTCTTCAGGGGTTGAGTGCAACGTTCGACCGCGTCACGTCTAGCACTGCGCGCTGCGGCTCTCTGCGCGCGCGCCGATGACGCACTCCGCAGTGGGGAACTCGGGAGGCTGATACGTTGCGTCAGCGCGTCCTGGAACTCTTCTTCGCTACTGCTGTCCGTAGGATTGTTGTCGGGAACAGTCCAGCACACAGAGCTCACCACGTCATTACCACTAACATCTGCAGCTGCATACCGAGCGCCATGAAGACACGGCTTACAGGTCGGTATCAAGCTCCAGCCTCCGTCTCTATTAAAATTTCGTCGCCTACTTATTTCAATAGCCTCTCGGATTTTGCGGGGCAAAAAAAAAATTCTTCTCCCGCGCTAAAACCTTAGCTTTATCAAACCGAATGTAGTGACCAGCACCGGAGCTCAGAAAGTGGTCTGCCACCGCAAATCCATTGACATCTTGGTTCTTTATGGATCGGATATGCTCTGCTAGCCTAGTAGCCACGTTCCGTCTCGTTTTGCCGACGTAACACTTGCCGCAGTCACAGGGAACCATATAGACACCGGGGTCCCCCAGAGGGTCTCTGTCCTTTGGAGAGTGAAGCAATTGTTGCAGCTGTGTGAGAGGACGGAATATTGTCTTAATGCTGTACCTTCGGCGTAACAAGTTTACCGGATTGAGATTTGAGTGCAAACCTCGGATGTTGGTGTGGTGCACTTTTAGTGGGAGGACGTGAAACCGCTATGTATACTTTTCCATTTATGCTTTTCATAGTTGTTTTGGAGAAGTGAATATGCAGGCGGAAGGCAGTTGAACGAGGCATTAAGTTGTGCTCAATAAGTAGCAAGCCATCCGGTCCTCCCCTCTGGTCGCCAACCGGCAAGGTGGAGCAATCCGGGATTTTTCGTTGTGTGGCGGAGCAGCCTTTCAGGGGTTGTTTTTCCCGCTAGTTGGTACCCCAACTTCCCATGATCGACCAGCGGTGCACCGTGTTTCTATTCCCACTAGCCTCCAGTGCTCAGTGTGGCTGTATAAGCAGCTATAACTTGTCGTCAGAAGAAAATGTAAATTTGCAGACCCGACCTCCTAACGGCAACTCACGAACAGGAGCTGCAACACGGAAATACCGTTTGGCGCCTCGACGATGACGTAACCAGTCGCGGCCCAAGCCTACCATCAGTAATTGTTACTCGATTAGCACCACCTAGGGGTCACTTGTAGGGTCTCGAGGGTAAACCTACGGAAGCGATCAAGACCAACCCACAAAAATCATAGACAATAGAGCGTGACATATAACGATATTTTTGATGTGCCAATCAGATCTGTCGTTTTTTGTTTGTAGATGAGAATATTACTGTACAACCAATTACCTCTGCCTCTCCCCACCAGCTGCTCACATATTTAACGCGTATAAATTTTGTCGCGAAAAGTTTTAAAGACAAAACTACAGTCCACTTAAAGAAAAAGTAATAGAACAGTGTAAAGTATTTATTATGTACTCACGAGGTGCAATAAAAAGACCGTGTCCTAGCCAAGGTTGCAAAAATCTATACACAACATCTTTATCTAGACAATTCTCCAGCACTATCTGTGCGTCTTCTGGATTCGCAATGGCTGAAACAAAAAGGTCACCAATATGTATGTCCTTTTAAAAATTATCATGTTTATACTGATTTTATAAGATATTTCATTATTTAAAAAAATTCTAAGTTCGATAAGTATAGGTACAAGTGTACTTTACATTCTGTTTTCTATAATACAGGCTTACATACCAACGTAAAGTTTCGGACCAAGCCAAATTTTGATTGCCCCTTTTGCTTTTAAAGCAATATCCCCTACTTCATTAAGCTTTTGTAATATTTCTGAAAACAAAAACTATTACTAACATTGGAACACCACAATGTAGCGTCGTACAAACAAATTTTGTTATGATCAAGGATAAATACGAAACAAGCAGTAGTAGAGCATGTAATATTGTCTATTGTTTATTTTCTTGAAAATCTCATTACATTTTATTAACATTTATGGAACAACAGCAAATAAACTCTGGAATGTGACTGGTTGTTTGTTTTACTATAGTATAGTTATTGCCTTGGTAGATTATCAATAATAATTATGTAGAAAAATACGTTCAACGATATAATATTTAGAGGAACGCTAAAAAGGTTAAATTATGATAACAATGTTCAAATACCCTAGTCATATATACCAACGTTTAATTTTAAAAAAGAATTACTTCAAAATTGTCTTTTGATTTAGATTAATTATTCAGTTAAATGTAGCCAGTGGTTCATATAGCGCACACACTCAACATAGCCCTAGCCCTAGCCACTGGGAAAACCCTGTGTCGCATACACAACGACAAATTACACCCAAACTCACGAGAGAAATAAATGTAGGCCATACAAATATTTATCCCGGCCCGGGATCGAACCTGGGACCTCTGCGTGGCAGTCCGGTATGATAACCGTTCGGCCACGGTGGCAGGTATATGAACGTTGTTAACATAATTCCTTTTAGCGTTCTTCTAAATAAGTCCATGAGTATAATTGAGTTTGGACTCTGAGTGAGTGTGGGTACATTCTTAAGTACCAAGGAAAACTTCCTAGAAATTTAGAATAGATTATTAGCAAGTTTTCTGTTCAGTCCTGTTTTCCACCTGTTGCTTTACTCAATCATTATCGCATTAACCAACATATACCAACTGCTGGATAAATTTCTCTTTCAATAACAGGGGTAATGTCCTTAGGCCATAATGCTCGGGTAATGTTTAAAACGCAGTTTCGAAAACAAGTATTTGAGCACTGTTATTATTATGTACTTACTTTCAGTGGTGCCAAAAAACATCATTCCATTTCCTAATAAAGGCAGCGTCGGCGATCCCGGTAGAGCGGCAGTCATGCGATCTATGCGCTGCACCCGCGCAACCCAGTACGCACAGTACGCACACGTAAGGATTATCAGTAACCCCAGAATAATCATTGTCGTTCTGTTGGATTGTTGTAAAAAAAATTGATGTATAGAAAGTTTTAGTTATGACCTACGATCATAACATAAGATCATTATGATACGTTAACATCATTTATTTGATATTAATTTTCAGGTAAGTTTTTTGTACTTACTCAATTTTGGTGATAATTTCTTTTTATTTAATCATTTATAGAATATCATCATGAAGCATTATTTAATATTCGAGTGTGGACACGATGATATATTCGAGTAATTAAATGATAAAAATTGTCACCAAAATTGAGTACAAAAAACTTACCTGAAAATTACTGATTAAGATTATCCTTTATATATATACCTATATATACGTGACAAAAATATTTGGGTCAATTTCAAAATGATTTGATTCAATTAATGATTGATTTGAATGGAGAGTAACTGTAACTCTTATTTTTTTTTTTTTTATACATGACAGGCAAATGACTCCACTCCACCTGATGTTAAGTGGAAAGTGGTATCCAAACGTGAAGGAACCTAGTGCAGCGATGAAACCCAGGCTATGTTGAGTGTGTGCGCTATATATATAATATATATAGTTTATATATTACTTCGTACCCTCGGTGTAAATAAGCCACATGTGATCATAAGCCAAAACTACTCCTATTAAAGAATTTATAGCACCTACATTTAAGCATAAAATGTTTATCGACTAATTCCGTTCATAGAATCTTTAAACATCTTCATTCATTCATCATTTCTCCTGAAAAGTTGTCATTTTGCAGACGTGGCTATAATAATATAATATACATTTTGCAATGATTTTTTTGCAAATATTGCGTTAGGATATTGCTGAATATCCTTTAAATTTTTGTCAATTATACGTGCGCGCTGTATAGATAGTACTTATTTTGCATTACTTAATGTATAATCAGTAATTATCAGAACACCTGCATTGTGAGCAACTGCGGCTTTATGACGTGCCAGTTCCTCGACAAGAAACAAGCACTGGATGAAACGGATCTTCAAAGATCAGACAAGCAGTTAGGCAGGACGCTCTAACCCATCATATTTCATTAATTCAGGAAAGTAGTAGAATCAGAGAAGGGGGCTGTTAAATTTAACGGAGAAGTGATTACAATTCATATAGTTTGCAGACGACATAGCTACCTTACCTGAAAATGCTCACCAATTGCAAGAGCTAATATCGTGTGTGGATGTTATATTTACAGAATTTGGACTGAAAATTAAAAACAAAAAACCATTATTGACCATTTCTAGAAAGCTAATTGTAAAGCTAAATAACAAATCAATGAATAAAATTAGTAAATTTATAAACTTGGACAGTTTGATGTGCAATTGAGGAACTCGGAGATAGCTTCAAGAATCGCTATAGCTAAAAAGGTTGTTAATAATAAAAACATCATTTAAAATAAAAAATGTCTTAAGGGGCTAGGAAACGACTAATAAATGTGTACATTTCGAGCATTGTATGGTAGTGGGACACGGATAATAAATAACATGCAGAGACGCAGAACGATTAAAACATTTGAGATAGGGTTCCAGAGAAGAAAGGAGGGATCAGTTGGACAGAAAGAAAAAGTAATGAGGCACTTTTTATTTCTGTCCAAGTCACTCCATTCTTACACAAGACAAGTTAGACAGAAAGAAAAAGTAATGAGGCGGTGTTAAGAATGGTGCAGGAAAAGGGTATCTTATTGAAGACAATAGGGGACCGAAGGGGAAAGATGTTTGAGTATCTAATACGTCACGACAGTTTTATTACAAGCGTTATAGAAGGGAACATGGAAAGAAAGAGAGGAAAAAGAATTAAGGAAATATTAAAGACTCAAAGTTAGAACCGGGCGCAGTGGGAGTGCCCCTCAGATCATAAAGAAAAATTACACCGACAAGAGTTCTTAAATAAGAAGAAGAAGCTCCTCTTCATTTTCGTGACTTCCAAAAATGATTTGATTTTGTTTATTTAATTTTTTATTGAAACCTTGTTACTTTTCATTTTTAAGTTGTTTACTTTACACATATACGTATACCTACCTACCTATTTTAGATTTATCTTTCTATGGCACCGTGATAGTTCTGGTATTTATAATGTCACGAAATTGAAGAAAGCTGTCATTTATTTATCTATTTTTACGAACCAATAGTATTGAAATTATGATGAGTGTACTTACTTCGAATTACAATTCAAATCCTATTGTTGTTTATGTTACTAAATAAAACAGCGTAACTCTATAAGTAGGTACGTGATGATCACTTTGTCAGTTATCGGATGTTTATATATTCTGAAGGTATTTGTGCACTGAATCTTTTCCCGGCTACAATCAGTGTTCATAAATTACGCGAGCGGAGGGGTCTAATTGGACTGACGGACGCAATAAGACTCAATTCTAAAATCCCTCGATTCTACATAAGTTTACTAAGCATAGTGTGTTTGCTTTAACAAACAACGTGTTTGTAATATTACCAGTAACCTTCATTATACAGGGTGTGACGGAATGATGCTGTAGAAATTCAAGGTAGAACAGAGTTACTATGAATTCGGAATCTGTAGGTAAAAAATAAAAACTAGTGAAATGAACACATTGTCTAACAAAAGTGATATAAGATCGTTGTGCTAACACTTGTTTTAGAGTGATCTATGAAATCAAATATTTGTTTTTGAAGTTTTCTACCATATAGTGTTAGGGCGCATATATTCGACACAAATTTCATTGCGCTCACCCCATCCGGCCGCCTTACGGACACCGAGCGGGCGCCACGCGGTCGAAGAGCGGAGTTCGCGTTGCGGCCGCTCAGCGACCGCGTGCGTCTAACTGTCAAGGCAAACTACAAACGCTCTATTTGTTTAGCTTAGCTTTAACGTTTTAATTTAAATGAGCGTTCCGGACGCGGCCGCGCGGTAATATTATTGAGAGGCATTTAAATGTTGTTGCGCAAAAAATAGCGGGCACGATTTTTCGAATAATGGCAAGTTGGGTATCGTTTTCGAGTTATTTGGGGGTGCTCATTACGAATATAGCACTTATTTCTAAATCCAAGATGGCGGACACGATTTTTCAAATAAATGCAATATGGGTATCCTGGCCGAATTGGG